ATGTCCTGTGTACTCATGGGAGGTTTCTCTAAGCAACATACCTTAATATCCCTGGAAGTGGAATTCTTCAGACAATACAGTAGCTTAATTCCACTGGTTTTTGCCAAGTTGATTTCTTATTTGTTTCCATTCTCATCATCGGTGTTTTTAGTTTGCTGTTTTTCCACATCCTTGCAGATTCCTAATACTTAGACTTCTTAAGTCTTCTTTTTAATTTGATAGAGCATGACATGTAGCCCTTGTTGTTTTAGACGTCTTAACTTCCGCCTATGTGATGGTTCTCATTGATGACTTGTGACACTGCATCTCTTTCCATGTGTTTAATGACACTTTGGATTTTCTTTTCCCTGAACTATCTGTTCATATCATTGGCCCATTTTCCTGTTGAGGATTTGCCCTTTGTACTGATTTCTAGAAGTTCTTGGTCATTTCTGGATTTATAATGCTATGTGCTTTTTATGTTGGAGGTGCGTCCTTCCAGGCTGTTATGGCATGTTTTTTAAATTTGTTTTTAGTGACTTCTGTTTCAATTCATCAGTCTTTTCGTTTAAAGTTTAAATTTTATGTGTGTGACTTTATTTCCATTCCTACTTTAATTGCATAAAGGATATCCTCTTATATGAGTTTTATAGTTTAGCTTTTTACATTTTGGCTTTTAACCTATCTGGAATTTATTTTTGTAAACAGGTCAAGAGAGGGATTTATATATATTTTTCCATGTGGATGACTGATGGTCCATATATAATTTTACTGTCCTGTCTTCACTTATTTTTAATGCCACACACCAAACTCCCAAATATACATGGATGTTACTGTAGATTCTGCTCTGTTCTTTTGGTCATTTGTTTTTCCTTAGACTGATACCACAGATCTTAATGAATATAGCTTTAAAAGAAGATTTATTAGTTGAAAAGAAATTCTTCCCTCATCATTCTTTTTCTTTAAAACTCTTTGGCTGTTGTTGGCCTCTTAGTATTTCATATCAATTTAGGAATCACATTGTCACATGTCTTTAAAAATAATTCATTTTCTGGGATTTTGATGAAAAATAGATTAAATTTATAGATGAATTCCAGGAGGGTTGACATTTTATGATACTGTTTTCACATTCAGGAACATGATTGCCTTTTAAAAATGCCTTCTGTGCTCTTTGGTGAGGTTTTATAACTTTGTATTTTACCTGTCTCTTGCATATTTTCTTAAATTTGTTCCCAGATAGTTACACTTGTTGTTAACATTCTGAAAGGAAATTTTTTTAGATGACATGTTTTACTGATCACTGTCGGTGCATGTTACTAAGTGTAGGATGTTGTTTTAGATCTAGCAACCAGGCTGAATTCTTTTTTCATTCAAATAGTGTCTAGATTTTTTTATTACCATAATATTTTCTTAGAGCCATGGTAGTTTGTTTCCTTTCCAATCTTTATGCTTTTTTCAGTCTTCTATTAGAGGTCTAGGAGCTCTGGGGTTTTACTGAAAAAAGGCAATGACAGTGTGCACTCTCGTTTCTGATTTAAAAATGAATGTGTCTAACATTTTATATGAAATATGGTTTTTATTGAAGGATTTTGATAGATAATTTTTGTATTAAATTGCAAAGTTCCATTGCCAGTTTAAGTTAGAGTGTTTTATATTGTTTTTACTTTTGTAAAGACCGGGTGCTGTTATTTTATCAAATACTTTCTCTTTCTCTGTGTATTGAGATGATCACATAATTTTCCTTCTTTGATCTGTTAACCTGTTAATGTGTTATTTGTGCTTCTCTTTTTTCTTATTAAGAAGGGATTATTCTACTTTATTAGTCTTTCCAAAGACTAATTGGGTTTTTTCTTAAACCTCTATTGTTTCTTTCTATGACATTCCTTTTTGTACTTCTATTCTCGGTTTTATCTTAGCTTAATTGGCATTTCTTCTTTACTCACTAGATACTCTTAGTTTATGAATTTTTATTGCGACCCATGAGTTAATGTATAGTGGTTTCATCGTCATTTTGTTTTAAATACTTTGTGTAGAGTTACACTTGTCAATTTCTAGTGTAAATTATTACTGTTTATATGTTTATGTTATCTTTTGTGTAGTGGATACACCTAATTCAGGTGCATAACAACTTTTAAAATAAATAAGTGAAAAAAAAATGAATGACCCTGGTTCAGTTAGAGTCCTAAATGGGCCACTCCAAGACTAGAAAGTTAGATATTTGCACATTATACTATAAAGTAGCATACTCCTGGGGTTTGAATTCAATTTTTATTCTCAAGATTTTTTTTTTCTCCCATTCTTAATAGGACCTCTGACTCGACGAACAGGATTTGTGAAGGTTTATCTTTTCTTTTTTCGTAGATTACTCAGAAATATCAACTTCATGAAGTCACTGCCTGACAATTAGAAAAGAAAGAAGATGTTCAGAGTGCCTTAACACAGATGCCACCCACTCCCAGCTCTTACTCTGCCAACAAGGCCTGTCAGGAAGGACCCCAGGAGGGGATGGCAGAGGAGTGACCGACCTTGTGTAGCTGGCCAGCTGGGCTCAGGCAGAACTTCCCAGGATACACGCGGGGGTAAGTCCGGAAAGGGCGGTGCTGGCTTCTTGAGGCCAGGAGAGCTCTGCTGCATCCCCGCTCACCTGGGCCGGGAGCTGCCCCCCTCCCATGGGTGTGAGCAGGCGGCACACAGCCAGCACCCTCTCCTGGAGCAGGGCAGGAGACCCCAGGGACACGAGATTGGGGTCAGTCTTCAGGGTTGACGTGTGAGTACTCCTGCCTCCTCAACGTGGGCTCATCTGAGCCTCGGTTTCCTCACCGTGAAGTGGGGGGAGGGTAACAGTGCTGGCCAGGCCAAGGCAGGATGCAGGGGTCAGTCCAGGCAAAAGCCTGGACCCAGTGGCTCCAGGAGACTGTGGGTGGGGGGTAAAGGAGGGAGGGAGCTTCCTGGAGGAGTGCAAGTGGGAGGCTGAAGGGGGCACCCGAAGCACACTGTGACAGGGGACAGGGTGGGTGGGCGCTGCGAGGGCACAGTTGACTGTCAGTCACAGCCAGAGACCGGGGTCTGTCTCCACCCTCATCCCCCAAAGAACAGGTCATTCTTGATGTGAGGAGGCCAAGATGGGAGGGGTCTCTGCACCCACATGGGCTGAGGTTCAGAGACTGGGGCTGGAGGGAGGCTGTGGGATGGGTAGGATGACTTTTTGTTCTCTGCTCCCCTGTCTTCCATCCCCCTGTCACTGGGTTTGGAGATCCTTCCCTGAAAGATGGGGTTGGGGAGGGGTGAGGTCAGAGAGGCCACAGAGGCCCAGAATGGGAATGACCCCCACGGCCACCACAGGGCTTCCAGTCAGGCCTAGAGCAGGGGGGCTGTGCCAGTTTGTGTCCCCAGATGGGCCCAGCCTAGGCCCATGTGGCCGGTGGCCCTGGCCGGGGCTGCCCACTACTCCCACCCAGGCCTAGGTGGGAGAGGTGCCCGGGCCCCTGGCTTCCTGCCCCTTTTGCCCCTGCAGGTGAACACACTGGCAGGTAACAAGACAGGTGCATAGAGCAGGTGCTTGAGAGCAAAGCCAGGGCCTGTTTCAAGGCCCCAAGCTCGGGGTGGGCACTGCCCCCAGCATGCTCGAGTCCCAGCCTCCCCGCGGGGCTGACAGCCCTCTCTTCTGCTTTCTCTTCCAGCCGCTGCTGGCAGCCCCAGGCCGGCGTCCGGGCCCCGGATGTTAGGAGCCACAGCTGCCCCCTTGGTCGCCTGAAGCCCTCTCTTCCTCCTGCCTTCGCTCAGAGACCTTCGACCTGGCCCACACCTGCCTGTCCAGCCCGCAGAACCCTGGCGCCTCCCCCAGCCCGGCAAGGATGAGCAGCCAGGCCGCTGCCCCGGGTGCCCTGTGGATTCTCAGTCCGCTGCTGCTGCTGCTGCTGCTGCTGCTGGGGAGCCAGCCAAGTGCGGCCTCGGGGGCGGACGTGGGTCCCGGGGCCGGGCCGCGCCCCGTGCTGGTGCCGGGCACGTTCTTCAGGTACTTCTTGGCGGCTGCCGGGTTCCCCACCAGTGCCTCGCGGTGCTCCTGGACCCTGTGCAACCTGGACCCGCACCACCACGCGCGCTATGTGAAGGTGGGAGAGGCAGCCCTGCCTGCAGCAGCCCGGCCCACGTCCGCATCTGCTAGCTGGACTTCTTCCTGTAACCCGCGCGCACCTCCCTGGGCCTGGAGAGCTTTGACGAGGTGCCGAGGCTCTGCGACCCCTCGGGGCCCTTGGGCCTCCTGCAGGCCAGCAAGCAGTTCCTGCAGATGGAGGGGCAGCAGCCGCCCCAGGACGATGACCCAGGGCCCCAGGGCGGGGCCCTCCCACCCCAGCGACTACTTCTCCGTGGAGCACCTGGTCATGGGCAACTGCAACCCCAGCGACATGCCCGGTGGCCCTGAGAGCTGCCTCACCAGCCTGACCCGGGACCAGGGCCGGGATGCGCTCCAGGTGAGTGACCGGCGGGGAGAGGCCCAGGGGGCAGGTCTCTGGGCTGAGGTCAGGGGGGAGAGGGTCTCCGCTTCAGGCCTGCCCTGGCCTCCCGTCTCTGT